AGGTTACCAGCGCATGTACCACAGTCTCAAGGTCCCTTACTTCCAGGATATATGTACAGGAGATAAAATTTAATGTAGAGTTCAATGACAATATGTAAACATGTGATGTTAAATATGGATTTGTTTGAATTAAAAAAAAGAAAAAATCAAATAGATTGTATAATTGGAAGCAAAAGATTGTGGAACTCTATACTAGTGGCCAAGACTAGACCAGGTGCCGACTCTGGCACAGATCACAAATTACTCATATCAAAAATAAGAGTAAGACTCAAGAAGAAAACAAAACCAGTGATTATACCAAAATATGCTCTAAATAATATCTCAACAGAATTTATTGACAACATTTTTTTTCTTATTAACTGCCTTCGAGTTGATTCATTGTTATAGCGTGCTTGCATGACTGTACAGAAATATAGATTGCTACAGAGCCATGTTTCTGTTATCTTCCTATAGCACAATTGCTGTGGAATTAGCTCTTGTGTGATTGTCTCCTCAGAAATGATCCAAAAATAATTTCTAATACCCCACATAACCAGTAGAATGCAAAACAAAATTAAAAACCAAAACAATTGCAGAACAGCAGATAGAATAAACCAGATAGCAAGTAGGGAGAAAGAAGAGAAGGAAAGGGAAAGAAAGGAAGGAAGGAAGCCAGCAATAAAACATATAAATATATAATAGACCAAAAACCTACAGCATCTAGAGGAGCAATGAAGAAAGAAATTTGCAGTAAATTCAAAAGTTTGTTTTAATCTAATGCACTTCAGAGACTCCAACATTCCCTTATCTGGGAAATTTGGAGCAAAAAACGGCTTTCAGTATTTTGAGTATCCTGTAGCACAGGAAACTGAATAGCTTATGTACTCAAACTTGAAAAGTTCTGTACTCTAAGGAGATTATCACACACACTAAAAAACACTGGAAAACATGCCTTAGCTCTCCCAAATTCAAGTAAAATTCAGGCTGCACCCAGATCCTATTACATGGCTTCCCCCAAAAAAGTACCATCCAAATGCAGCCCAAGTGCAGCCCGAGTCACCTAACTCACTCCAGTGGCCATTTTTCAAGGTGGAAGCTTTCCAATTGTGAAAAATGGCCACTGGAGCAAGTTAAGTGACTCAGGCTGCACTCAGGCTGCATTCAGATGGCAGTTTTTTGGGGAAAAGCTGTGTGATAGGATCCAGATGCAGCCCAAATTTTACTTGAATTTGGGAGAGGTAAGTCATGTTTTCCGCTGTTTTTTTTAACTTGTGCGATAATGTCCTAAATTTGGTTAATGAAATACTATTGGGATGTGAAATGTTATACTAAGCTTTTAAAATGTTCTTTCTTGTTTTGGTTTTGGTGATCCATTTTGGAAAGGGTGTCCCATTTTGTTGCATGAAAGACCTGATGAAATAAAAATGTCTTAAAGGCACAGTCAGCCCTTTTTAACCACAGATTTTGCATTCAAAGATTCAACCACCTATCCAACAGATCCTGCTGGTGTCAAAAAGTCAGCAGGTTAATAAAACTAAATACTTCAAATGAAATACATTACCTTTCAATTTGGGAAATAAAACGAGTTTCAAATGATCCTCTGGTTTTCAACTTCTCTGAAGCTTCTCCATTGAAGAGCAAATTTTCATTGACGAGTTTTAGCAGAACTAGTCGTGCAATTTCACCCATGTACTTCCCTCCTATGATCTTCTCATACCTGGCCAAAAAAAAAGGCATTGATGGGTTTAGCAGTACAGAGGTATGGATATGTACCTGTGTTTAAATGAAAACCAGGGAGAGAGATAAATATAAACTCAAAAATATGCATTATGTCATTGCTGCATCTACATGGGCAGATTTTAGCTCTTGCAAGAAGAAATTATTGTGGCTTTCCCCCCTCAAGAATCAATGCTGACTGCTTGACAGTAGTGACTATTTCTTCTGAGTTGCAGAAAAAACAACTACAGACTCTTCCTCTTTGCTGAATTCTGCACATTTTTTCCCCAATAGCAAATGTGCATAGTAGAATATTAGTCCACTATCTGTACGTTTAAGATGCATGCTTCTAGTCACAGGGAAACCAGCATTACTTCAGTCATTTTGGTGCTTATAGGGCCAAGAAAGGAACATCAGGGATGGAAAACTGGTTCTTTGTCCTAAATTCCATTGATGTTCACATCCCTAGAGATTTCCCAATTCCCCTTAAAGTTGGCACTTACAGAAAGGAATTATTGTATCATATGGCAGGGGATCCTCAAGACTTTGGACCTAATCTGACCTTAGAGTGTTCAAAGCCAACCCATGGCAAGATCTAAGTCCACCTCTCTCAAACCCTGCCCCTAAGGGGGAAATCCCTTAATAATTTTCCATGAATGATTGCGTATAACTAGGGAAATCCACCATTTGCTGCTCTTCCAATTAGGAGGAATTTCCCTAAAATAGTAGAAGACTCATGAGCTATGTATGGCTGATAGGATGAGGAGGATTCATGCTTGTTCAAATGTATTTCCTACCCCACCCCATATCAAAAAGGAGAAGTGTAAAAGCCAGGAAAGCAAGCAGCAGTTATGTTAACTTCGTCTGTCATATTCCTTACAGCTGCTGACCGGGGTTAAGCGAGGTTTCGTCCACCACACGATCATACTCCAAAAGGAACTCATCCAGTTCTCCAGATGCCCCAAAGGCTCCCCATTCAGTGTTTACACACATCCGACCTTCATTCCCTTCCACCAGCTCTACATTCTGCATCTCTTCCATGTAACAAGCATTGCAACCTGTGCCTGCCAGAATGGAAATGCAAAAAGATTCTCCATTATCAATCAGTGCACATGTATCATAGAATAAACCAGTAGCATATATCTATTATTATTATTTTCATGCTGGCACGTTTAGGAGCCAGACTTAACATTACATGGGATATCAATAATATCTGCAGTCTATACCAATATCCATTTGGAACACCTGATGAGGACTCAGATTTTAACTGGAAAGTAGTTTTGGAAGAGATGGCTTTAACCCGTTCACTGTCTAATTCAGCATGCATGATGCACATTTAATAACTTGAGGAAACCATCTTTCCATAATCTTTATTGTTTAGCAATATCTGAAATGTCTCAGGCATCATTCTTGCTGCCACCCCCATCTGTACATTATCTAGTAATAAAATTGAATTGATTTGGATAATGATGGAGATGATAACCCAGTTTATAATCTGTCTTCCTAATATTGGCAGCATGAATTGAATAAAATATAACTAAAAACAAATTATGATTTGATTTTTAAAAATTAAGCTATCTTATCAAAAATAGCACCAACTTGAAACAGTTTTAAAACATCTAAAACATAGCAATGAGGGTACAGCAAAAAGCAAATAATAATAATAATAATATTGCTTGCCAGTGGAAAGAAAGCAATGAGAGGGGCCAATCTAGCACTTATGGGAGGGAAGTCAACAGCCTGGGAATGGCCACCAAGAAGGTCCTCTCATGTATCCTGACCAAATGTGTCGATGGTGGTGGTGGTGGAAATGAGAGAATTTCCACCCCAAGGATCTTAAAATTCAGGCAGCCTCAAACAGGGAAATACAGTCTTTCACATACTTTGGACACAAACCAGAGAAAATAAGGCTACACCTCTTGATTTATGGACAAGGTGGGTGGAGGAACCCAACAACAGTTATATACTTGGACAGCATGAACTGTAAAGAAAACATTGACTGGAATGGAGACTGCAATCAAGAAATAAGAAGAAGATTATGAAGGAGAAGGGCAGCTATGAAAGAACTGGAAAAGATACTGAAGAGCAAAGACATACAACTGAGCATTAAAGTCTGAATCATTCAGGCCACTGTATTCAGTTACCATGTATGGATGTGAGAGCTGGACAGTGAAGGAAGCAGACAGAAAGAAAATCAACTATTTGAAATGTGGTGCTGGAGAAGTGTACTTAGGATACCATGAAAAGCCAAGAAGACAAACAAGTGGGTTCTTGAACAGATCAGAGCAGGGCTCTCCTTGGAAGCTAAGATGATAAAGTTGAGACTATCGTACTTTGGCCACATAATGAGAAGGTATGGATCACTAGAAAAAACAATAATGCTAGGAAAGGTAAATGATGGAAGAAAGAGAGAAAGACCACAAACCAGATGGATAGACTCGATTAGGGAGTTTATGGGAAAGGGCTTGCAGGATCTGCGCAAGGCAGCAGAATATAGGGATTCTTGGAGATGTCTCATCCACAGAGTCATCATGAGTCTGAACCAACTTGAGGGCAGCTAACAACAAGGTATCTTCTAAGGGGAACAGACTGATCTCATGCTTTCCTCTACCTAGTTTCGTGCAGGTATGACCCTGATCAAGAGCCAGCATGGTGTAGTGCTGGATTGTGACTCTGGAGACCAGGATTCAAATCCCCACTTGGCCATGGAAACCCACTGACTTATACAGCCTCACAGGAAGCTAAAGGTAAACCCCCTCTGAGCATATCTTGTCAAGAAAGCCTTGTGATAGGTTCACCTTAGGGATGCTGTAAGTCAGAAATGATTTGAAGGTACCCAACAACAACAACAACAACAATAATGGCCCTGATCCCCATGCCAGCTGCCCTTTTTCTGCCCAAAAGAGTGAATTGCCTCTCCTGCTGCCTTATCACATTATTAAACAAACCTGGCAAGCAAACAAAAAGGTGCATGTGGGTTTTTTTCTCCCTTTGCATGATGTAATTCTCTTTCATTCTTTTCTGATCGTAATCAAATAGATTGCCTTGGAGAGTGGTGGACTCTCCATCTTTGGAAGTCTTTAAACAGAGGTTGGATGAGCATCATTCAGGAGGGCATTTCTGGAGCTGAGAGTATGTGACTCACCCAAGGGTCACCCAGTGGGTTTCCATGGCTGAGCAGAGAATCGAGCCCTGATCTCCAGAGTCATAGTCCAATGTTCAAACCACTAAACCACACTGGGTCTCCTTGGTTCTTTACCTAATGTATGTTCAATTGAAGCAGGATGATTTATGCCCCAGTCCTCTCCAACACACATTTATATGTGTCTTTTAAAAGTCTTCCAGTGTAAATCAACAGTGTCATAAAATATTGTCAAGTATGGGGACTTGTGTTGATAAAGGAGTGTTTGAGAATCTCCACTCACTATAAAAAATGTGTTCCCCAAACCCTCAAGCAACACCCAGGTGACATTAAGTACCTGAACACTTTAAAAAAAAATCTTTCCAGGCAACCTGCTACCATAGCATTGTAAACAATATTACTCTTCTTCAAATAAATGGTGGGTCAGATGCTTGTTTTTGAACCCTACTGGCACACTCTCCTCCTCCCCTTCTTGCCCATTACAGGAAAGCTCAGCACAGCACGCTTCCACAATGTTCTTTTTAATCTGAACTAGAATGACAGGGAACACATTTAAATGGACAAGCACAATATATTAATGATCATCCAGAATGAATCAACAGGAAGTCTGTGGAGAATGACAATAGCTAATGCCTCTTTTTAACTCAAACCTGTCAACTGAAGCCTAAGGCCCTTATCCATCTCTACAAATTATAACAATCACAGAGGATATCAAAGCTATGGGCCTAAGAAGGGATGACAGATATTTGATAGGATGCATGTGCTGCCTGCAGAAGGGTCTAGGTTCAGTTCCTAACACTTCTGGTAAAATAATATGCAGTACATAACTTTATTGTAAGAATGTAATCAATCATTCCGAATGAAAATGGTTCAAAACAAAATCATCAGCAAGGCAAAATTCAAAAAGAAAGTACAACATATTATTAAAAATTCTGTCTTTATAAACAGTCAGTTCCCCAAAGCATGTCAGAATAGAAAAGAATTCTGTTCCCCACTTTGATGATAGAAGCACAACAAGGAAGAAACCAGTTTAAACTCCCTTGGAAGAGAGTTCCAGATCTAGAGGCAGTCATGAGAAGTCCCTCTCCCATGGGCCCACTAGAACAGACATTAGTTAAAATTAGGTAACATGTTAGGAAAATGCAGTCAATGTGGGAAGAAAAACATTTTAAAAAAATCTTGCAACCTGATAACAAGGATAAGTAGAAAATGCAGGCTGGATTTGGAGAAAGCAATTGAACAGAGACCAAGAGATTTTCACATTCCTATCGGTAGGTGCAATTAAAGCAGTAAATTGATTAATGGAACATCCATAAGTGATCATATTACATCAGTATTAAAATCACTCCACTGGCTGCCAATTAGTTTCCAGGCAAGGTACAAGGTGTTGGCTATTCCCTTTAAAGCCCTACATAATTCGGATCCAGGTTACCTACAGGATAGCATCTTTCCATATAATGCACCCATATGCTTTATGCTCATTTACTCCAGTCAACCAGGACTAGGTTGGCAACTGTCAGCCAGAGTACTTTTTCTTTAGCTGCCCTAAGCTGTGGAATGAACTGCTGGAAGAGATTCAACAACTGAATATGTTGTCTGAATTTAAAAGAGTATTAAAGACCAATCTCTTCTGGCAGGCTTACCCAAATGATTTTAAAATTGTGAATTTTAAATGATTAATTTTAAATGTGGATTGTTTTAAAATGCGTGTATCTTGACCTTTTTAAATTGTATAAATGTCCTTTTAAATTGATGTGTATTTTACCTGATATGGTGTGGCTTAATTGTTCATTATTGTCCAGCAATATTGGGCTGGACAAATAATCAATCCATGGGAGAGGCGGGTAAGAAATGTATTATTATTATTACTACTACTACTACTACTACTACCTGGGGAATCTGGCAGCAGCAAAAGTGTTCCTGGCATCTGGGAGGGGGCTGTACACACCATGGATTCTGATAATCAGAGTGTAGAAAATACTGGGCAAGATGTGCAAACAGTCTGACCTCATGTAAGGCAACTCCATTTGCTTCATATGAAGTAGTATTCAATATAGATTTTAAGATATTAACATTCCAGACTACAGAGATTGTGCCCAAGGGGAGTTATATAAAAAGAAATGGCTTACCCACTATCATGCCAACTTCACACCGGTGGTCCTCATAGTAGCAGGATATCATTGTTGCCACTGTGTCATTGACCATTGCAACCACATCCATCTCAAAGTCCTACACAGGGTTTAAAAAGTTAATATAATCTCAGATCCTCATAAAAAAAAACCTCTGGATGAGATAAAACATATTGAGGTGGTATCACACAATAGACTATTACAGTTACAACTGCTGTAGATTTGAAAGTAAGAGACATATTTTTTTAAAAAAAGAAGGAAGAGCTCTGAAGCAGTAGCATAAACCTAAGTGTATTTTCAGACATCTTGTAGACACATACATAAAGACACAGGATGGTTGATAGTTTAGCAGCAAGACAGGTCTCAGTTTCAATCCATTAAGAGAATGGTAGAAAGACCTGGGGCTGAGATCTGGAAGCAGGCTTGGTTCTAGATGTTTTCCTGTCTGCAGAGAAGGGCAAGATGGTGCCCTCCTTTCTATGGACATAAATCAACTGGACTGGCAATCAAATCCTACTTCAGCATAGCATAGATGAAGTGACAGTGTCCTTAGAGACACCTGAGGGCCACTAACTAATTTAGAAGACATAAATTGGTGGCAGGGAAGACAAAGTTCACCAGTATCTCAGTGGTGCTCCCACCCCTGGCATCCATTGGCTAAAATGTCTTTCTAATGGTAGGGCGAGCTTCCTCCCCTGGAGTGTAGCTGCCAATTAGAAAAGACAATATTGGGCTAGACAAATAGTGGTATAAATGAAAGTATCCTAGAAAGCAACAGAGATGTAATGCATTGAACAGCAGAAGATCATTTTCATCTCACCCCTCGCCGTTTGATAGCATCTCTTAAAAGCCCCACTACATTGTTGCCTTCAGCTCCTGATGCTTTGAAGCCTTTAGTCCAGTTCAGTAGGATCCCCTATAAAACAAATGATGAAAAGGATCAGAACAAATGTTCTAAAATGAGCATGAACCCTACATCAGACCAATGTGATTTTTTTAAAAAATCAAGTATTTAGATACATATATATCAAGCAAGCAAAGACAGGTAACATATGGAATGTTTGCTAACAACTACTCATATGCTATATCTCTGCATAGTTATAACATATAAAATAAGCCCAAAGAGCACATTTGTTGGGCATAATTAGGCATTTGCACAATGTTGGGATGGAAAGCACACAGCCCTCCAGATTTTGTTGGACAGCAGTTCCCATCAGACCCAGCAAGTATAGTCAATGGCAAGGTGAAATAAGAGCTGAGGTTCAATAACACCTGAAGACTCACACATTCTCCACTCCTGCACTACTCTATTGCTGGATCTTGATAAATAGTAACATTACTACTGCCACTGTGGTAATAATTTATTGCCATCTAGATCTTCTGGTGTGAGATCATAGGCTTTCATGGCTGGCATCCATAGTTTTTTGTGGGTTTTTCGGGCTGTGTGGCCATGTTCTAGAAGAGTTTCGTTTTGACGTCTCACCAGCATCTGTGGCTGGCATCTTCAGAGAAAATTTTTTTCTCTGAAGATGCCAGCCACAGATGCTGGCAAAACGTCAGAAAGAAACTCTTCTAGAACATGGCCACACAGCCCGAAAAACCCACAAAAAACTACTTCTGGTGTGAATCCAATTTAGAACTGTGGTGTGCTGTTGTTTCCCCTTGTAGAGTTCCACATTAGCTCCAAAAGAGGCCGAGACCTTGCATCGAGAAGATAGGGCAGAACTTTATGCTCATGGATTTACACAGCAATTGTGCAATCCCACTTCACTAGTGAATTTTGGCTTTGTACATTTGAATGTGTATGCAAATATCCATGATGTGCAATGTGCAAACATGTGTAATCACATCACAGTCTCAGTTCTGCTTCTGCAATCTTGAATTACTATGGCCATTCCACATGAGACAAAAATATCCAATTGATTCTTTAGGTAATTATGCACATGTAAGACACCAGCTGACCAGGGTGTGTGTGTGTGTGTGTGTGTCAGCATCTGAATGCAGCTTTTCAGGTGGCTCACATAACTATAAACAAATTCAAACAAAAATCCATCAGTAACACCTTTATTGGCCAACCAAAATGCACAATATACGTGTTGCTTTCAAAGCTTTTTGTTTGAATTTGCTAAATGGCCAACACAGTTACCAATGAATGATAACTATAAACAATTAATAATCTTATAGTTCCGTCATGGTATAACAAATAACTCATAGTCCACACTAAAACTTTTAACACATTAAAACAATTTGAATAACAGTATTTTAAAACAAACCAAAGCACTATATATGTTGATTAATAGTTTAAAACAAAGCATTAGAATAGCAACAGTCAAAAACAACCTAAAATACTGTAAACATTTCTAAAATCAGTTTAAAGAAAGAAAGTCTTCAAGAGATATAACACCCACCCCTTAAAATTTGTTTCTTCAGCAAGCAGTAGGGTTGCCACTTCAAGATCATCCCAGGCCCTAAGGTTTCTGCCCCAGGACCTGAAGCCTAGAGAATGTCCCTGGAGATGTCATTAAGCTAATACATTAAGTGCCAACCACAAACACTTCTCCAGGAACAGGAGAAATTGGTGTACCAGCTTTAACTGTGCAAAAGCACTCCTGGACACTGCAGAAACCTGGGCCTCCAGGCTCAGAGCTTAATCCAGGAGTACCCCCAAACTGCGAACCTGTGTTTGCCATGGAGAGGGGCACGCCACATAGAATAAACACAGAACAACCAACTGGAAGGAAAAAGCCACGACTTTATTGAATATAGCTGACAGTTAGGGCTGGCCCAAGAGCATGAGGTCTGGATCTGTCATCGACCAACCCGCCTGTTGATTGATGAAGCAGATTGCCTGGTCATGGTGAAGCTTTGAGATGACAAAGGGTAACCAGTTGATCGCATGTCTGCATCTCAAGCAACCAGTTGATCGTATGTTCACATCTGATCCCCTTGTCACCTGCAATGGCAACGCTGC